TTATGTGTTTTCTCATTTCGACTGGGGCAGGGGACTGTTAGTGCCTGCACAGATTACCTCCTCTGAGCTGGGAGAGGTGGGACAGGGGCCGGAGCAGTGGTAGGGATGGCGGTCCAAAAGCCCTTTCATCTTTGCTGGGAGCAGCGGGAGGGATGGTGGACGGGAAGCCCCTTCCTCTGGACCAGGAGCAGTGGGATGGCAGCTCAGAAGCCCCTACCCCTGGGCCGGTAGTGGTGGGAGGGATGGTGGCCCAGATGCCCTTTCTTCTGGGCCAGGAGCAGCAGGACAGAAGGTGGCCCAAAAGCCCTTTCCTCTGGGCTGGGAGCAGCGGGAGGGATGGTGGCTGGGAAGCCCCTTCCTCTGGACCAGGAGCCATGGGATGATGGCTCAGAAGCCCCTACCTCTGGGCCGGAAACAGCGGGACTCAGTACCTTGGTCTGGTGGTCTGGTGTCTTCTGCGTCTTTGTAGTGTGGAACCAGGTGGCTGCCTGTCTGCAGCGAGGTGATTCGGTGTCTTCTGCAGGACTGGGGACCTCGGTAGAGCGTGGGCAGACCTGCCTGTCTGTAGCTGGGTGATTCGGCATGTTCTGTGTGACTCAAACCTTATACATTTTCATATGAACTCTGCACTTCAACTCAATTTGAGATTCTCACTGTTACCTTTTCCCTTCTCTTCCTTATAGTTACCTCCCTGCCACAAGTCTTATTTCTGGTCCAACTGTCCTGATTTGCTCAGCACAATCCAGTTTTGTTCTGTTTTGTTTCCTTTGAAAGCTTGGAAAGTTTTTGTAAAACCCCCAATCCTCCCAAAAGGAAACATTTTTTTTTTCACCCTACCTACTCCCCTCTTTTAAACAGTGGACTTCCATAAACTAGATCTTCTGAGTTGTAGGCATTTTGCTAAATTCTAGGGATATGAGTGAATAAAAATATTTCTCCCTTAGTTTAGACTGTATGGCTGAGATACGCAACTATAATATGACATACATTGTAATATAGTAAGTATAAGACACCTAGCTAAACATAAGGATTCAGGGAGGGACACAGACGAATGTATAGGAGCTAGGTAGGTGTGGCTGCATTCTGAAAAGAATGACTTCTGATCAAGTCAAGGGAACAGTTGACACTAAGGCTAGAAAACAAAATTAGGTATGTGTTATATAACTTTAGTAGATTTTTGTAGTGTATTTACAAGTAGTATGGGAATAAATACATGAGATGCATTCCAAAAATATGTCAAATTAGCAAGAACTATAATTGTCTGGCTATGCAATTTGGAATATATATAGGGACAAATGACTGTTCTTTGCCAAATTGTAAATAAGGAAACAAAATGATAATATTTAGAAAAGTCACTTTATATAGCATAGATTAATAATAGTAAAGCAGTTCAAGATAAGACAAGAAGATGAAAGAACAACAATGCTTTTTTCAGATATCCTCCTGTGTAAAATATTCCCTTAATGACTTCCTGTACTCTAAAAAAATTTACCTATCTGGTAAGATTGATAATTTCTTAGTTTGTCCAAGTACTTCTCTTACTCTTCTAGTTCTCACTGAGCTCTTGCTTTGGTGGTCCAGTTGTATCATCTTTGGACTGAGCTGTTGCCCTCTAAATTCTCATAAATTATTCTAGTCTCTTAGACTAGAATTCAATTTCAACTAATTGAAAGCATAGATTGTTTATCACTTATGTGTTGGTCAGCTTTACTCTTGCTAGGAAAAAATACCCAATACTAGGAATTTAAAGAAGTACAAGTTGAATTTGGCTGTGGTTTCAGAGGTTTTAAACCATGATGGGCTGCTTCCAAGTTGGAAACATCATGGGGGAAGGGTGTGGCATAGCAGACCTACTTAGTTCTGGGTAGCTTGGAAGCAGAGCACTGGGGAAGAGCATGAGCAAAAGGTGAGCTCTGAAGACTTAGCCCAGAAACACCCTCCAACCTGGCCCCACCTCTCACCCACACAGTCAGCTATGAATATAGAGGTGTTAATAATCCACTGATGAGTATAGCCACCGCATGATCCAGTCACTTCTCCAGGGGCCGCTTAACCCAGTCAAGTTGATAATTAAGTTGACAACTGGCACATCCTTAGAACAAAAAAAACCAGTTAAGGTTAAATTTGCATTTTGTGATTATATTTTTGGAGGGGGGGAATGTTACCATTTATTCAAACAGATTTAGTTTTCATTTATATATAATTTAAAATATTTTGGTACTCAAATTTTAACTAGTGAAGCTGCTATGAAAAGAAAATTACATTTCAGAGAACTGACTGCAGCTTTATATTTTCAACTTCTACTTTATCTACTAAGGATCCAATAATAGGATAGAGGGTGAGAAATGCCTGTCACTCCAAGCCTGGGCTGTTTTTCTCCAACTCTCCACATGGCCTTATTCAACCAGAGCTCTTGGGGAGGCTGATCCTGGGCTGATATTCTCTGCCAAGAAATACTAGGGGCAGAAGAGGGGCTTAACCCTGCTTTCTGGGAGTTTCCAGGAGGAGGCCAGTGGCCAGTTCTTCCTAGGAACCCAGTTCTTTTTCCTTTCCTCCTTCCTAAGGTTCCTCCTATGTTGGCTCCCACAGCAGTGCCAAGCCCCTCTGGCTTCCAGGGAAGGGTGATTGTGTTACATAGCAGGATCAAGAGGAGCCAGGCCATTGGGGAGGTGGTGTTGATTTTCTTTTTCATCTACATTTACGCACAACCTTGTTTCTTTAAACCCATACTGTCTGTTCACCTTCTCCTCTCAGGTGACAGTATCAGTGAGTGCCATGCAGAACTCTGTGTTCACCAGCATCACTGGACAGTTGTAGTCTTTTGAGCTTGGCAGAGTAAAGGGGCATTCTCTGGAGCCATTCCTGAATACACCTCCCCTTCTTTGTGACAGCTTCCTCCCTCTTCCCACCTCACCTCACCGCCTCAGAAAACAAAAAACTAAGGCATTTGAAGATTGGCGTCCTGCTTGGAATTGTGCTTATAACCTTTACTTTGTGGACCTGGCCAGAGGGTGTTCACGCCCAGCCCACCCACACACCAGACAAGCTCTTAGGGAGGAGAAGAGCAGGAAGACTGTAATGTTTGATTTTTTAAAATTGACTTTTCTAGTTTATTAAAAGTTGCTTGTTTTAGCAGTGATATTGTATAATGAATATCTTGTAAAAAAAATAGGATAGAGGGTAACTTAACATTGGATGTAAAGGTACAAATTCCCAATAATGAATGTCAACATATTGTTTACCTAAAACGTACCAGTAAAATTAATTAATTTAAAAAATAAAATGTTAAAATGTTAAAAATGTTAAAAATAAAAATAAAATGTTAAAAATAAATCATTTTATTTTTTAATGAAAGAAATACATTTAATGAAATATGCAATTAAAAAATATTGGATGCTAGAAATATGCCTTCCTTTCTTAATTTCTAAAATGTATCCATACTTTCTCATCTGCTTCCTCTTTCTGCCTTCTAGTCTCTTTCTTTCCTATGAATGGAATGGAAGGAGGAGATTGGAAAGACATACACTCATTGGAATTGAAGAGGCTGGGCAGCATGGGACAAAACTGGATAGACCTTAGCCTGTACTGTCACTCACCAGCTGTATAATGCTTGGGGATTTCCTAGCCAAGTTGAGGATCATATGTTCAATGTTGTTATTCTAAATATAATACAATCTACATAGGAGGATTGTAGTGAGGACTCAAGTTGAGGATTCCTAGATGTTACTTCTATGTATGCTAGGTATAGCTATTATAATTATTATTAACTTCTATTATAAAAATCAGATCAAATTTGGGAAGATTGAGGGTTGTGACTTGTCAAGTTGTGCTCATAACTGTATTCACATATGACATCGATTATTCCCTGTGTGGCATGCGTTCTCACCAGGGTTTTGAGAAAACATGCAATAGAAAATTTAATAGGCTTTAAGCCCTTCCATCTTCTTTTCCCAGCCTTTTTAGCCATGTTTTTCTTATGGGGTTTCCTCTTATAGATTTAGTGCTTTCGTATTGCTTTGTTTCCACTTTAAAGACTGCAGTATTTTATTCTTCATATATATTTCTCCTACCTTGACCTAAGTCAGAATGTTTTTCTGAGTGTATCTGTATAGCAATATGCCAGAATTAGGCAAAAATAATTAAGATAAAGAATAAATAGAAACTCCTTTCTCTTTTCTATAAGAGAAATACTATTTTAAAAGTAGAACTTTGTTATCTATATTGCTATATATGTATAATTTATATATATAATATATAAATTGTTAATTGCTACATACTAGAAGACATGCTTTAGATTTTATCTCCTCTGTGTCATTACTCTCATTTACCTATTTAAATTCTTCTTCTTCTCCTCCTCCTCCTCCTCCTCCTTCTTCTTCTTCTTCCTCTTCAAAAAATCTTCCAGCCCTAAATAATATTAGTAATATTTTTCTGGCTTTTACATTATTAAAAAGTTTTCTCCTTGATTTAAATGTCATGTTTCATAAAGTTTGGTATTTTTTATAACAGCAGCTGATTTTTCACCTGTTTCTTTGATTTATTACAAAAATTCAATATAGTGGTTTAAGTGTTTATATTTCTTTAAACAAATTCCTCTTCACTTGAATTCTAAGAATTTATTTTTCCTGTTTGGTTCACAATTTACCCACTTAAATGCTAAATTTATGAGGTATATTAGTTAAGTCCATTTTATCTTTTCAGTTAGACATGTTAAGATGAATTGTGATCCTTTAAAATTAGAAGAGTCAAAGCAGTGGGGTTTCAGAATCTTCCAAACTTTAAAATTTCAGACTTCAGAATATTATTAGCAATTTTTTTTTTTGTAGCAGAGATCAAACTCTGGATCTTGCGCTTGCGAGGCAGATGGCAGCACCACTGAGCTAAATCCCTGGCCCCTTGTTATTAGTAATTTTCGTAAGATTAGCTTTCTTTTTTCCTCCACACAATTATGCCTCGTGAATAAGATGATATCTTCCCAAAGAATGCTTCTTTCTAAACAGGTGATCAATTGGTCTGGATCGGATACTACGGCTTAGTGTATAACCTGGTGAAAATGTCCTGGGAACTTCAGGGGGATGTGGAACAGGATGGACTTGGAAACATGATTTGGCAAACATTACAAAAAACAAAGGATTATGAGAAAGATGGACGGATCCTAAATGGAATAAATATTGCCCAGGTGAGTTTAAAAGACACCTGTTCAATAAATTGGTACTTAAATCAGGAATCAGGCTTGTCAGTGTCTATGAAAAGAGGAATGTTGTTGTTCAGTGTTAATGACTCCACTGTGAGACCAAAGTGAACCTAAGAAATGTCATCTTGGCCTGTGAATAAACTCCCCTCATACCCCTCCCCTTACAGAGTGCTGGAATTCCCCACAAGATAGCCACTTGCTCTGCTTCTGTAAACATGCTTTATCCCTCCCTGAGAACAGATCGTGCCTGGTGCCTCCCTGTAACCGCCTGAACCCTGTAGCCACAGAATGTCCTATCTTGACAAGATAGGTGGGTTGAAAAAGAACTGGGTTAGGAAAGATATTTCGCAGCTGGCTGAAGGACATATTGGCCTCTCCCTGAACTTCTTTGTTTGAGTTACCTATAAAAGCTGTGCTGTCTCCTGCTTCTGGGCTTCACTTCCTCTAGAGGGTGGAGTCCACATGCGTGAATAATCTCCTTTTAGTTTTAACTCTGTCTCTGTCCCGGTGTTTAGTGATTTCCTGGCTCGCTTGACATAACACCCACCACTGAGAATATTATTGTTAAATTTAATACTGACCTATTTTTGTTTAGAGAGAAGCAGGCTAAGCTCTAGATGGTGGCAGGAAAATAGATCTCCAAAACTTTAACAGAAACAATAAACTTAATAAATATAGGGAAAATCCACTTCAGCAAGCAACAATTCCAACACAGAACTAGAATTCCATTTTGGTGCAAAGTCCTGACAGACATGTGATAGGCACCCTAGAGTGAAGTAAGATAGGCATTCCCTATTCTTTTCTCTTTTTAGAGAAGTTGTTGAAGAATCTTGGAAAATAATGGAAGTTTAAATGAGCAAAACATATTCCTTTAATTCAAGGTCATTGCTAGGGTGGACAGTGGGAGAGATGTGCAGAGCCATTTGTACCTTCCTGCTAACATCTGTCAGAGGGGCAGACTGTGGCTAAGACTCAAAGCAGAGGCATGAGGGACTTCTCTATGACTTAGCTTCTAATGGGTGTGAGGAACCAGAGATCTGTGCTCACTCATGAGTGTTTCCTCCCTTTCCAAGTTCAGTGAGCAGAAATACCAGGAAAGCTAAACAGCCATAGTGCAACACTGCGCTCAACACAGAAAATAAATAGGTAAAGGTAAAAGTTGCCATATTGATGGCAAAGTTAGTTTCAGAACTTTTTTCCTCTCTTCTCAGCCTGTTTGATAATTGCATTGGCAAACAGAACGTGTATCTCCTAGCATTTTAAATTACAATTGAAAAGCTTAAATTTAGCAAGTAGGAGGACCCAACATTATTCTACTTTTGTAATATGGTAATAATATTCTAAACAAATATCTCATTTAAATATGTAGACACAAAAGCACTTGTTTTTTAAATTTAAATTTATTTTTATGTGCTATATAAAAATTTAATTTACATATTAATGAGGAAGATGTGATATTTCAATGCATGTATTCATTGCATATTTAAATCAGGTAAAATAAAACATATTTATCTCTTCAAACTATCATTTCTTTATGATGAAACCATTCAAAATCCTTTCTTCTAGCTTTTTGAATTAGGCAGTACATTACTATCATCTGTAGTCACCCTACTGTGCAACAGCACCTAGAGTTTCTTGATGGTATGTAGTTGGAACTTATTGTCTAAACTTTTTCCAAACTTACTCCACCCCAGCATTAGTTTTATTCAATGCAAAATTCCAGTACATACCAGTATATATTGTAGATGTCCAATATTTGTGTTTGACTATGTTTATAATTAAGTCAAATATTTTAAAAATCAATAATAACAAAATTATTATATTGAAGATTTTAAAATGTTGAAAGTAACAAAAAATGATGAATAAAATCTGAAAATAAATTGGAAATTAAAATACACCTTGATAAATATTAGTAACAGGAAGAAAGTAATTAGCCCATTTGTGAGGATTACTTTTCTTCTTTTGGAGAGATGAATGCTCAGGCATACTTGCACTACTCAAGCAGGGATAGTTGCTGGAGATCACGTTGGAGATAGAGAAGTTTAATGATGGAAAACACAAAACCTAGGTCCAGGTTTCCTGCATTGAAAATGGCAGCTGTACTATGGAGGAGCTAAGTGACCTTAGGTATACCTGTCCTTCAGTTTCCTTCACTGAAAATGAAGTTAATTAATACATAATGTGTAGCAATGTGATGTATAAGTGAATTAATATTATAAATCACTAAACATTTTTGCTAACAAAATAAAGTCACAGAGATAAAAAGTTGTTTCACTCTGAAGTATATTACTTCTTAATGTTTCTAAAAATTATGATTAATATTATGTCTCTATGGTGAAACCATGGAAGGTGGGAAAATTTGCTTTTAATCAAAAAGTACCAACAGTGAATGTTGGTGAATCTCAAATGAAGTAAAATGAAATTTCAAAATGCTTTAAGGAAATAGTCAATAAGTAGGCTACTATGTAAGCTGGTGAAATTCATTGTTTTTTGGTGCTGACTTCAGTCTGGTGTCGCTAACTGGGCAGTCTTCAAATCTTCATGAAATCACTGGACAGCAGGCTTGAAAAAAAAGTTTACAGCATTCGTGGGGTAAACATGATGTGAGAATCACCTACTGGTTTTATTCATCTGTTTCCAAAACAGTTGAGGGAGAACTTCGTTTATATGGATATGGCTTTTATAGTGCTGAATTAGTCTTAGTTTCGGGTATAAAAATGACTGAAATTCTATGTGTAAAAGACTCTCATGGTCCTTCAAGTTTCTGTCTTTGGGCACTGAGGACAGGCAGCTGTGCTGATGCCTGCCACACTGCACTCAGCTCTGTGCTGACATGCAGGGAGGAAGGAATTGGTTTTGGGGAACAGTAACTATTCTGCTCTAGTCAGGTTCCTTTTGGAGATATTTGTGAGTATGCTGAGGAAGCATTCTAATTAGCTCGGATTAACATGTTTCATTGTTGTTTTACAGCTTTCTTATTAGTAGTGAATTAATTCATTTTTCAGAATGTCTTAATTTGTATAATAGATTAGTTATCTAGCTTGTGTTTTTTGTCTAATGCTTTTGGCATTAGACAATATAAGCTGCAAATCTGGTCTTATCCACATTAAAGCCTTTTTCCTTAAAGTTAAAAATACATTTTAAAGTTGCTTGATTTTTCTAGTTGATATATATAGATATATATTTATATCTATGTATATTTACATTCGAAGAAAATCATTATGAAACTAGCTATTAAATTCATAAAATTATCTCTTTATTCATAAAATACAAATATGACTTTTCAGTGATAATTTATCCATATGACATCTTATAATATTTCAAAATTGCATTCTTTCTATTCTTTATATCATATTTTAAGGCAGGTTAATTTGTTGTCATTCTAAAGTACACCTTTTCTGTCATTGAAAGTTCTGATTCTTTCTAGCTTTCACAGATTCAATTATGTAAATATTTTCAGTGACCCATTTTCCAATAAGAAAGTCAAAGTTTTGGCCAATTTCTAACAGATATAGAAGATGACATGTATTCATTTCCTCCAACCTTATTAGTTTTTTGTTGTTGTTTCTATGATTCTTTTAATCATTTATATTATTCTCCTATCTTATATCTGCTTTTATATGATACCTCAAATTTCTAATGGATTATTCTGGAATTAAACCAAATTCAAATTTGTTACTTCTATAATTAGAATTCTATTTATAAATATGCCAGTATTCAGGGCTAATCATTTGGTATAAGATGTTCTTCTTTCCTCAAAAATTTATTTAAATATCTATAGATAATTACATTTGAAATTCATAAGTCAATCAGACATAGCAAATGTATTTTAGATATTAAATGTAAGTAAAAAATCTCATTAGTTAAGCAGTCAGCACTAAGAATAAAGGAATAAACAAAAGCATAACCATTACATGTGTGTTTTCAATGCTTAGAAGAGTTCTAAAGACAGTTTTCATTCATTTTAAATAGAAAATGAGTGATAAAGACAAGTCATCCTCAGAGAAAAAAAATCTAAGGAATTTCTACAAGCAAGTATATTGATTTAGGTACAGTACATATTCAATATGAGAAAGAGGCTTAATTTGCATTAGTTAGTCTGAAAGACAATTTATTCTAGACCTCTAGATTTTATATAAATCTTAGCTAAAAGTAGAACTATTTAGATTATTAAACAATAGAATATATGATTTATAGATATAAATGATAAAGTATCAAGTGGGGACATTAAAATAGTTCTGCTTGAATTATTTGACATTTAATTTAGTTTAATTCTCATTGTGAAAACACTACAAATAGACTAAAATGGTAAAATAATACTAAATAAACATCTATTTGTTGAGTGCTGACCAAGTATATTCACCCTTGTTTAATTTTATGTAAGATACAAAAAAAATTTCTTATATTATTGAGATGTAGATTGTCATCTTTTAGTATATACTATTCAAGCTGGAAACTTAAATTATGAATTAGATTCAAAAAACAAGATCAAAGGAAACATCTCTTACATAAGGAAATGTCATGATAAAAATAGAAATAAGAACTATATAAAAGAAAATCATAGATTGACTTACCTACTTGGGAAATAGTTTGAATTGATTGGTAGTGAGCATTGAATTTGAAATACAGTGTATGTTTGGATTACTGAAGTAAGACGGTAGAGTTTAGGCGGTGTTATGGTTTGTGTTTAGATGTCACCCTAAAGCCTCATGCTGATGAGGTGGAACTTTATTTTTCAGAGGTAGTTTAATCTGGAATGTGTGATGCTGGGGTTAAGGGCATGTGTTTACTAAATCACTCCATGTGAGCCATTAGTTTGGGACTGCCCTAGCCTCGATAGTCTAAATAAGATAAAAGGGGCAGAAAGATCCTGACAACCCTCTTGTTACTTTTGCTACCTTGTGTGTGCCATGTTGTTTTTCCTCTCCAATGTCTGTTTGCCATCCACCCTGCCTTGGAGCCAGCCAATTATGGACTGAAACCTC